CTGATAAGTTGACCCTTTACACGATACGTGTGATGGATCAACAGCAGGGAGACAGAGCAAAGCCCCTGTTTCTTAGCAACGCCGACTCTCGCATGGGCGTCGACCCAAGACTTTTAGGACGCCTGCGTACATCTCATTTCCTATTTATGCTAATTCAGTCCTAGGTTTGAAACATAAGACCTATTTCGTCCGTCAGAAACTTTAATTTACATCAACAAAGCAAAAGCGAGGTATTCGAGGAAATACCAGGCTTTGCACCCACGTTCCATTTCCCTTGAAACGAATGGTGTAGTGGCGAATTGCGCTTACCACGTGCGCAGTTGGGGGTTAAGTACCGGATCGGATCAAGCGCCGGCCAACCGAACCTTCAACCTTCACAGACGATAAATTGTGACGTATGAGAGGATAAAATACTGACTGGCTTGATGGCTGCCCTCTCCTCCCCCTTCCAGTCTTTCTCCAGGCCATATCGCATTGAATAAGCCATTACTGAATACAATTCTGAATGTAAGTGGAATGCGAGCCGCATCCCAGAAAGGGCTTGATCAACAGCAGAAGCTTTATCCATTTAGCTTGAGTCGGTATAATGACCAGACTTCAGGGAGGGGTCGTATTTGTCTTTAAACATCCGAGAAGAACGCTTTTGGTTATTCAGTAGTGTCCAACTTTTGGTTATTGATTTTAAACGGTTTTTCTGTTCCAAGTGCACTGCGTATGTCCTCCCTCTGCCGATCGACGAGGCAGCTTTTTTTTGAGGGGGGGGGGAAGTGGGGGGAAGTGAGGAATTTTTTTGAAAAAAGTTCGAAAAGTGGTGAAGGAGCAAGTTATTTTGAGAAGAAGGAGGCCATCTTCTGCAAGGATTTCCTCAAACGGTGGTATGTGCCCTCGTCCCACCAATGGGCTCGTTAGAAGCCATTGTTGCGGATAAACGCGCGTCTCTGCGTTTTCCAGTGAAAGCCGGTTTTGTAACATTGGGGGCTGGGATTGACTGGCCCAGCAAGATTTCTCCCTTTACTTTATGTGTTCCTCTGTGATTCGACCCCCTCCCGCCTCCTCTTTTCTTGGAACTGGACTTCTTGCGTTCTCTTCTGTCTTGTCCATACACGTGGAGATCCGCCGCGGCCGTTCGACGCACCGCGCGCGACGTCGCGCTTGCGGCGCCACCGTGGCATTTTATGGCGACGTGGCGTTTCGCGCGGGGAGGTCGCGGCAAATTCTATTGTGGGTCGATTTTTCTCTATCAGCTTGCTTTCTTTATTAATTCATGCTGTTTTTTATTTCATAAGTATTTTACATCTCAAATCTGCAAAATGGAAGTAGACTCGCTAATATAAACATTGCGGGAGGGCCGAGTGGGATTGCAGTTCGCAGAGGGTCACCTGGGACAACAATCACTGCAGTTTGGCGTTGCGCTGTAACGCCACCATTTCGGCGTATCGGCGTAGCGGTTGTGCTTTGCTCTCATTCCAGTTCGTTTGCCTTCTTTTAAAGCTTTTTGGGAGCTCTAGAAGACCGGATAAAGGAGCTTTTTTTAACTTTACTATGTGATATTGGCACTTGCGGTTTTCTAGGTGTCATAGTGTTTCTCCAGCTAGGACCTGCAACAAATACAAAGCTTTTTAGCTTAGTATCTTCCAATACTTCATTGTTTTGCAATTTTTTTCAAGTAAAGAAAAAACCAGCATGTAGCGGGAGCTACCCTGAATCCTTCGATCGATCATGTTTTCTTGTATACCAGGCCTCTCCACTTACCTTTTATTCAATTTCCCTCAAAGGATATAATGACAGCTCTCAACAGAACAAGCATAAAATGAAAATTGGTTAGCGCGGTTCAAGAGCATTTCTGACAAGCATTGTCCCATATTCCACCTTTTGACATCATTTTTTCTCCGCATGAAAATGTTGGCAGAACTGGACTTTGACGGTGAAGGTGACCCTAGTCCAATTGAGGTGTGCGGGCCACTGAGTGCTAGGGCATGGCAAGTTTTATGACACGTTATAGAAGTGGGAGGAAGGTAAGGGGGAACCTCCCGCAAAACGTGAAAGCCCCACTGTATGGAGGAGTTGGTCGACCTTTGCCTGGGCTTCTCCCCTATGTTTCTGCAAAAATGCACTAAATACGGTCCAACAAATCAACAAAAACCACAAAGTAACGTGGAAAAACGTCAACGTTGTTTGAGGGGGAGGGATGGGTGGCACATAGCTGCTCTTTGTGTCCCCTCCCTTGGCCAGTGCTTAGTCTCAGAGCGCAGGCGACCAGAGTCGCCGAGGGGTAATCTCGCGGAAGACACAGTCTCTACTGAGCCTCATTCTTAATTGGGCGAAAGACAGGGAGGCGCCATCGAGTGCAATCTCTTTAAACTACGTTCAGCAATGCGTGAAAGGGTGTATATCCCCAGTGATGTAATCCTTGGAGTGTGCTGGACGCTTGATCTACGTTATTATGGGTTGGGTGCATAAGTGTTTCGCCCGACTTTTTTGTAAAATATCTCAATAGCGAACCACAGCCTAAAGATTAAGGTATGCACCGCACATCCACCTGACGGTCCAGCTTGCATTTTTTCGGTTCCAATCGTTCCAGAAGGACGGGGCTGGGAACGCCGAAGAAATGCAACAATGCCGCACAATCACCACTGGTGACACATGGTTCTGCAACTCGGTAATTGTCACGGCATTGTGCCTCAAATCAGCATGGGTGAGCGATAGCTAGTGTGATGAAGGAGTACCATGTACACGTCATGCACACGTGATGGCGAATACCAACCTCCATGCAAAAAAAATGCGGAAGGATCAAAACAAGGGGGGAAAAACTTATGCACCAACCTAATAGTATCACTCTCACTACATCCCGATTTATATTGAACTAGCGCCAAAGGATCCTATAGGTCGACGAATTTGAGCGATTTTACCAGCAATGCGGTTTTTGCTCACTCGAAGGAATGGTACTGCACAGTAGTCCAGATATTTCCTCTTTCGGAACTCTGGTGTAACCTTCATGAATTTTAGAATAGGTAGCCGGTTTTTTCTCCTGTTTCGATTTCGAGACAAGGCACGAAATGTAATTTATTCATGCAACACCTACTTTCACTTTCCAAGTCTTCCATGACATGCTAGAATGACAGTCACATTATTTGCTTCTTGTATCTTATCTACAGGTTGCTCAGTTGACCTTGATACAAGGGGCGTGGCTGGCTTCTAAGTCTCTATGCCATCATCTTGATGTGATCGTATTCCTCTTGGCTGTTGCTTCTTTTCAGTAATTTTTATTGTTTCAGTGGGTATGTTGGCTCTGGCGGTTCTCGGCCTGGTCGGCCTCGTTTCGGTGAGTCTTAAACCAACTATCTTTTCTTTGTTTAGCTCAACTTATAATCAGTTACTCTTTAGTTTTGTCTCATGCTGCTGACACAGTAACGGTAAACGAAAGCAAGGTGTAGCTTCGACATTCACCATCGGAGGCAAGCCCGTGAGTTTTAATCTTCGATAATCTGAAGCTGAACAATAGCACAAAAGGAGGATGGTTGCGGCGGAAAACAACTACGCGTTGTCAAAGAGCTTCTGTCATCTTTCGAAATTTTATATTGTTTCCCGGCGACCATGAAGAGTACTTCCTGAAAAAGAACCACGAATATTAAAAAACATTTCTTAGGAGATTCTACGGTACGTCAACATTTTCCACGTTTCAGGCTGGCCGTATCGTCATCGGACTGTTCGGTAATGTTGTGCCGAAAACCGCCGAGAATTTCCTTCAACTTGCCACTGGAGCCAAGGGATTCGGTTACAAGGGCAGCAAATTCCACCGTGTCATCAAGGACTTCATGATCCAAGGTTACTATATTACCAGTTATAGCTAATGTAATGAGCACAGATCTTTTGATTCTGCGCACCCGAGACGATGGAAACCTGCACTAATATTTTCCCTTCTTCATAAAAAGCAGGGTCTTGGAAAGCATTTTGTCTAAACTTGGGGTGTAGTTCAGGGATGTGAAGCGTTACTTACCAGTCGCGGCGAAATAGGCATCGCAAGCGGGGTGGAGTACGCCGTACGCCGTTCGTACCGGGACCCAACCCACTCAATAGGGCGACCGCGACGACATCGACTCCATCTCTCAAGTCAACTCGTACTGCGATGCCGCGAGAAGTAGCACTTCACTCCGTAGTTTAGAAGATTCGAAGCGCGACATCGTGAACCGACCAGAGTCCTTAACTAGTTAAATCGGCTAAGCTGTTTGGCGTCAAGGTCGAATCGTAGCATCCGACGTCCCCAATCGTTCATTTCACGACCACATAAGGAGTACTGCTAGGTCCTAACTAATTCGGCACAAAGGTGCTACGCCGAGTCAACTGGTTAGGAATTCTGACTGCTTCGCTGTGATGCCGCGAGGGATAAAGGGAGCTTCAGCGAAAGGAAGCATTTCACCCACCTCCTTCGCACTAGGCTTTGGTAAAAATTCCGGGCTCCTGGCTCGCAATCCTTCCATCGCTTTAGCACTAAATGTCTTTCAACATAGAACAAAAATTGAATAAATGCTGCGGGAAACGAAGCTTTCAAAACCTCAAAAAAAAGTCGTGCAAACTGCGACTACGGTAATCCGACGTCCGACGAACTATTGCACAAACTCGCAAAATGCCCGCCAGTCTTACACGAACTTTTCTTGTTTAAACCATAATGTGTTTTTTTTTTCACATAGGTATCTTTATTTTGCACTTAAGGAGGAGATTTCACTCGTGGAGATGGCACCGGCGGAAAGTCGATCTATGGTGATCGCTTCAAGGATGAGAACTTCGATCTGCAGCATTATGGTCCCCGGATGGCTTTCAATGGCAAACGCCGGTCCCGACACTAATGGATCACAGTTCTTCATTTGCACTGTGAGTCTAACAGTCACGATCAAAGCACTGTTGCAGATCAAGGGTGTCATGGTGGTGAAAATTACGAGTTTCGTGATCTTCAGGTGAAGACCCCATGGTTGGATGGACGTCACGTCGTCTTTGGAAAAGTTCTGGAAGGCATGAGCGTCGTTCGCCAAATCGAAAACTCTCCAACTAACGTAAGCACTTGATTTTATTTCATTGAATGTGCAAATGTTTTGACCACTACTTTCCGTTTTGCAGCCTGGAGACCGTCCAAAGGAAGACGCAGTCATCTCTGATTGTGGTGAACTAACGCTTGCTGCACCATTCGAGACTGAGAAAGCCCCCGTCAGTGAATAGGTAACATCACCTCATCATGATCGTTCCACATAGGCACCGACACTGACTAGTAAAATGCTAGTCGGACTTCTTTTCTATAATAATGCCTTATTCCCATGGTATCTCTAGCGTTCGTGTTTCCTACAACGGGATTGTTTACTGGCGGATCGTATAAGCAATTTTTGTGTTTACTGTGATTGTTTTACCTCGATAAACTATTAAACACCAATCTTTGATTGATTCCATATGTTGTGCATGCAGGTCAATGGTCAAGGGGCAGTATTAACTTGAATTGGCATATGAAGGGGTACTTCTGCAAAAGTGGGACTAACATAATCCGAATAGAATAACCGTATTTGAAATGCTTCACCCATACGAAGCTGCAGTGATGGGACGTTTCCGCGCGGCTGCGTTTGGCGTGGCACCTGCCCTTCTTTACCAACTATCGCCTCTCTCTAACAACTAGCGAAGAACGGACTGGTGCGCGTCAAACGTAGCGGACTTGACACTGCGCAGCGAATAAGACTGTAGGTCAACCAACGAGAACAATCACTAGTCACGGCCTGAGTAGACACAAAATGTCGCCAGCAGTCGGGAGGGGGGGGAGGTCAAGGGTATAGAT